GGAGGGTGGCTGAGGAATTCTGGGAGTTGAAGTCCACCAGTCATAAAAGAGCCCAGGTTCCCCACCCCTGGTCTAGGAGGCTCACCGCTTAGAACAGGGGTAGGCAACCTTGGCTCTTTTATGACTGGTGGACTTCAACTCCCAGAATTCCTGAGCCAGCCATGCTGAGGGGAAAGGGAGAGGTTTCCAAGCTGAGCCAGGCTGGCTCAGGAATTCTGGGAGTTGAAGTCCACGAGTCATGAGGGGGCCATAGTTCCCCCATGCTGGCTCAGGAATTCTGGGAGTTGAAGTCCACGAGTTATGGAGGGGCCATAGTTCCCCCATGCTGGCTCAGGAATTCTGGGAGTTGAAGTCCACCAGTCATAAAAGAGCCCAGGTTGCCTACCCCACCTCGGCAGTGGCTGGTTCTGCACCCGAAGGGACAAGCTGGCTTGTGGCTGACCAGTGTTTCCCTCGGAGATGGTGGAATAGGAGGGGGGTCTCTCCCTGGACCAGCTGGACCACCGCCCTGACCACAGTCTCTCTCTCTGTTCCAGCTCCAGGGCCGCAGAAAGCCAACGGGAACGCGACTCCACAAGAGGTGGCCTATCCAGACAACCTGACTTACAGAGGTGAGGAGACCAGGGGGTCTCTCTGTCGGGGGCCGTGGGTGGCCGTCTCGTTCCCTCCCCCCCCCCAGTCTGGATGCCGACGTGGCCGTGTCCTCCCCCTCCCCTTCGGCTCTCTCTTTCCTCTGTGGGAGGCGGACGCCGCCCTTCGCTTTCGGCCCCCAATAAGGGTCCCCCTCTCCCCCCCTGCAGATCTCTACTACTTCTTGGTGGCCCCCACGCTGTGCTACGAGCTGAATTTCCCCCGTTCCCCACGGATCCGCAAGCGCTTCCTTCTGCGGAGGCTTTTTGAAATGGTGAGCCTCGTTCTGGGGAGGGGTCCTCCCGCCAGCCCCGGGGGTGGGGCAGGGGGCTTAGAAGGAGGAGTGACTTATGACCGTTTTCCACACTTAACGACCGTTGCGGCATTCCCCTGTGGTCACGGAATCAAAATTGGGACGCTTGGCAAGGGGTTCCTATTTATGACGGTCGTGGCGTCCCCAGAGGACGTGCTCCCCTTTTGCGACCGTCCGGCAAAAAAAGTTAAGGGGAAGCCAGATTCGCTTAACAACCGTGTGACAAACGTAACCACGGCAGCGATCCGCTCTAACAACGGTGGGAAGAAAGGTCGTAAAACGGGGCGGAACCCGCTTAGCAGCTGTCTCGCTTAGCAACGGAAATTTGGGGTCGTACGCCGAGGACTGCCTGCGCTGATAGATTGGGGGGGAGGCCACCCGTGATCTTCTCTGTGGGGCGGCTGAGTTTGGAAGCGAGCTGCACGGGAAGTGTTGGTCCTCGGAGGCGCCTCGGTCATCCAGCCTGACCCCCGAGCGGCTGGGTGGGACTTCAGCAGGGCCCCTCTGCAACTGGGGTGGGTCCGTTGGGTCAGCAGCCATCAGATTGGAGGCTCTGGCCGCTTCTCCGGCGAGTCCTCGGCCACGGCTTCCCTGGGGAAAGGGCCCGGGGCCCAAGAGGCTGCAGGTTGGCGCTTAGAGGGACGGGAGGTGGTTGGGTCGGAGGGCGCTGCTGGTTGCACTCACCCTGGCTTCTCTCCTCCTCCTCCTCCTCCTCCTCCAGCTCTTCTTCCTGCAGCTGCTGGTGGGGCTGATCCAGCAGGTGAGTGGGGGGCTCTGGGCCTGCCCTCTTTCCCCGTGACCGGGAGGGTGAGCCAGGGGGAGGGGGGGCTTCCCCTGGCAGGCTCTCCTCTGGCCTCTCGCAAGGATACCTTGCTCTTCACGGAGCAGGAGGTTTCTGGAGCGGCCTAGAGCTGGGAAGAGAGTTGGGGGGGGGGCTGGGAGGCTGCAGGACCACCACCCCCCTCCCCAGAGAGGGTTGCTGCTGTGTCCTTTGGGGCTGGGGACCCAGAGCCAGCGCTCGGCCCTGCGTTGAGCCGCTGGTGCTTCTGAATTTGAGACCGGCGAGGTGCTCCGATCCTGACTTGGGGAGGGGTCTCCCCGGCCCTTTGGAGGGGAGGTGGTGGGCTCCAGTGGTGTGGAAGTGAGCCCAAGGCCCCTGAGGCTTCCTCAGGCTTGCTTCAGAGTTGCAGACCCGAAGGCTGGGGGGGCAGGAGCATCCCAAGGTCAGCCCCCCCACCTTCCCCAGCCTGGCTGCCTCTGAGTGGACCAGGATGGCTCCTTCCGGTCAAGGCTGCTCTGGAACAGCCCTGCAGCCGCTGGGTCTCATTGGCAAGGACCTTGAACAGCTGGAGTTCCTGTGCATGCGAAGAGGGCCCCCCTCGGCACCTTGTTCTCCTGCCCAGGGAGGAGTCCGAGTCCCAGGGCAGGAGAGCTACTCTTAGGGGGTTGGTTAGGCCCGGACCACATGGCCCATAAGCGACTTGTCTCTGGTGTTCCTCTTCTAGTGGATGGTGCCCACAATCCAGAACTCCATGAAGCCCTTCCGGGTAAGATCTGCTTTTCTTGCTCCCTTGCTGACGGTCCCTGGAGCACCAGGGACTAGAAGCTTGTATGGATAAAGGGGACCCTTTGTAGCTCAGGGTGGAAACGAAGGTTTCTTGGTGGCCTCTGGACTTGGCGGTTTTCTTGCCGGCATTTCATGACCCAAATTAGGGAACGTCGTCCGTGCGAGAAGTTGCGAACCTCACTCCCTTCTAGAACGGATGATGTTCCCTAGTTGGGTCATGAAACGTCTGCAAGGAAACTGCCCGGCTCAGAGAATGCCAGGCACTCTATAATAATCCTCCTCCTCCTCCTCCTCCTCCTCCTCCTCCTCCTCACATCCATCTAGCATGGATGATATTCCCTAGTTGGGTCATGAAACATCTGCAAGGAAACAGCCAAGTTCAGAGAGCTCCAGGCACTCTCTATAATCTTCCTCCTCCTCCTCCTCCTCCTCCTCCTCCTCCTCCTCCTCCTCCTCCTCCTCCTCCTCCTCCTCCTCCTCACATCCATCTAGCATAGATGATATTCCCTAGTTTGGGTCATGAAACATCTGCAAGGAAAACCACCCAGCTCAGAGAGCACCCAAGTTCAACAAGATCAAAGATCCAAGGAGCCAGAAAGAGAACGAAAAGACCCTAAACAGCCCCCCACCGGCGGTCACCCCCTCCCCAGATGAGCACAGATTAACTCCAGGATTAAGATCGGACCATCGGTCAAGATGTAAACAGTCCCCCAATTCAAGGACCTGGCAGGCAAGCTGGGGGTAAACAGCCCAACCAAAGAAACCCCAAGACCATCCCCACTAACACGGAGAGGGCAAGCCCCTAGAACAGGGGTCTTCCAACTTGGCCCTTGGATGACTTGTGGACTTCAACTCCCAGAATTCATGGCTGAGGAATTCTGGGAGTTGAAGTCCACAAGTCATCCAAGGGCCAAGTTGGAAGACCCCTGCCCTAGAATGTGAACTTTCTAGCCCTGGTGAAACGTCTGCATAAAAACGACCTCGGAGAACAGCAAGGACCCCTCAGAAGCGTGTCTGTTTTGAGGGGAGGGCACCTCTGCGGAAGACGCCTCTTCTAGGATACCTCATTGCAAGGACCCCCTCCCTCCCTCCCTCCTAATTGCTGGTGGTAAAAATAGCCCCGCTTTCCCCCATCTGGAGGACCCCTCTATGGTTGAACCTCGCATCTGTCTCCTGCAGGGGGGGAGTGGAACCTGCTTCTCAGTAGAGGGCAAGGGAAAGCATTTTGACCCCCCCCACACACACGTTTGTCTTTTCTCCAACCGTGCGGGCTGCGTGTCTAAGCACACTGAACAGTATTCCTCAGCTGTCCGTTTTAATAAAATAACACAGCTGGAAGGGGGACCCTGGAGGTCTTCTAGTCCAACCCCCTGCTCGGCAGGAGACCCTATCCCATTCCAGATGAATAGCTGCCCAGTTTTTAAAAATCTCCAGCGACGGAGCACCCACAAATTCTGGGAGGCAAATTCCAGATCTGGAAATTTCAGCCATCGCCTGGCTGGCTAGGAAATTAACAAATGGGGAAGCCCACAGGTCTAGAAACTTGAGAAGCTTGGGAGATTCAGAGCCCGATACGCCTCAGCCAATCTAGAAGAGACCTTGGGGTTAATGTGGAGCAGCCGGGAGAGATGATGTTGGGGGGGGGGCACGGCTGCCTTGGGTAAGGAGAAGACTGAAGCTACTCTTGGTTTGCAGGACATGGACTACTCCAGGATGATTGAGCGTCTGCTGAAGCTAGCGGTAAGTACCACAAATGGCTGGCTAGGAATCCTGGGAGCTGTAGTCTCCACTTGGAAGGCAGGAGAGGAGGCCCAGCTGGGAAGTGGGGCTTAATGGGCAGTGTGGGGGACACCAATGTGGCCTGCTTCTCCAAGGGAAGTTGGTAGCTCCAGTTCTGGGCCCAGCGTGGTGGTCCACCTGCAGGATGTGGCTGACCCTGGAAGGCAGACTTAAAAATGGTTCCTCCTGCGTCAGAGCCCGTCTGGCTTGGTGCTAGGGAAGGCCAACAGCAACTCTTCCGTAAAAGTGGGTGGGAGCTGCTCTCCCGGTTGAGGATCAGCACATTGCTCCCAGAAGCCCCTTGGTTCCAAAGAGGAAGCTCTTCCATGCAGGAGTCTCCAAACAGGGCCGCTTTTAAGATGTGTGGACTTCAACTCCCAGAATTCCCTAGCCCAGTGGTTCTCAACCTGTGGGTCGGGACCCCATTTGGGGTCGATCGACCATTTCACGGGGGTCGCCAAGCAAGGCTGTCCGCCATTTTTTTTGTCCGCCATTTTTTCCCCCTTTTCCGGCGGGTGCCTTACCTCCCTTGGGCTGGGCCAGCTGGTGGTCGGCCTGCTCCGTCTCTGCCGCTTGCCAGCTACGCCTCGNGACTTACGACCGGTTTAGTCCTCGACTTACGGCCGGTTGGGTAGTCCTTGACTTACGACCGGTTTAGTCCTCAACTTACGGCCGGTTGGGGTCGCAGCATTAAAAAGGTTGAGAACCACTGCCAGTGCATGTCATAGAATCCAAACTGGTCATAGAGAGAAAGTGCCTAGAAAATCTCTTTCCATAGGACTTTATCTCAATTGTAAAAGAGGCGTTGCAGGCAACCTCTGCCATTTTATGTCATATGGACTTCAACTCCCGGCTGGCTGGGGAATTCTGGGAGTTGAAGTCCACCCGTCTTAAAGGGGCTCTGTTTGGAGCCTCCCGCTCTGGAGGAAGAAGCCAAGAGCACCAACGGGCCTCCTTTGTCTCCTGTCCCTGCAGGTTCCCAATCACTTGATCTGGCTGATGTTCTTCTACTGGTACTTCCACTCCAGCCTGAACTTTCTAGCCGAGATCCTGCAGTTTGGGGACCGAGAGTTTTACCGGGATTGGTGGTGAGTCGGCCGGTGTGTCTTCGTGCGTGGGATCTTTGTGAACGGGCCACTTGCAGGACCTCCCTCCCTCCCTCCCTCCCGGCACTTTGAGATGGTCCAGAGCGATCCGAATGGCATTGGATCGCTTGCATTTCGGCGGCCTCCAAGCCTTTGGCAAATGGAAGCGGTGAATGCTCCAACACTGGAAGTTTTTAAGAAGAGACAGGACAGCCGTTTGTCTGAAATGGTATAAGGTTTCCTGCCTGTGCAGGGGGCTGGACTAGATGACCTCCAAGGTCCCTTCCAACTACTACTACTACTTCCTCTTCCTCTTCTTCCCCTTCTCCTCCTCCTCCTTTTTCTCCTTCTCCTTCTCCTCCTTCTCTTTCTCCCTCTTCTTCTTCCTCTTCCTCTTCCTCCCCTTCTCTCTTCTCCTCCTCCTCCTCCTCCTCCTTCTCATTATTATTATTATTGTTGTTGTTGTTGTTGTTGTTGTTATTACAAGTAACTCCCTTTGGATGAGCAAGGGGAAGGGGCTTTGCCACATCCCCTAAATGAGCTACAGTAATAGGACAAAGCAGATGTTTCAATCAGTCAGAATAGAGCTGGAGGGGACCTCGGAGGTCCTCTAGTCCAACCCCCTGCTCAAGGCAGGAGACCCTATACCATTTCAAACAAGTGACTGTTCAGTCTCTTCTTAAAAACCTCCCATGTTGGAGCACCCACAACTTCTGGAGACAACTTCTGTTCCACTAGTCAATTGTCCTCACTGTTAGGAAATGTCTCCTAAGTTGCTTCTCTCCTTTTAAAGAGCTTTCCACCTATTACTTCTTGTCCAGAATAAAATGCAAAATAACAGAGCTGGAAGGGACCTTGGAGGTCCTCTAGTCCAACCCCCTGCTCAAGGCAGGAGACCCTGAGCCATTTCAGACAAGTGGCTGCTCAGTCTTCTCTTAAAACCCTCCAGTGTTGGAGCACCCATAACCTCTGGAGGCAAGCAGTTCCACTGGTCAATTGTCCTCACAGTCAGGAAGTTCCTCCTGAATTCCAGGTTGCTCCTCTCCTTGATGAGTTTCCCTCCGTCCCTTCTTGTCTTGCTTTCTGGAGACCCTTTCGACTATCTCCCACTCACCGCCTCCTCTTCAGTTGAACACAAGACCTGCCTAGATCAGCCTTGTCTTGGAGAGTGAGGGCTCCAGACCGTGGGAGACCACCAGAAAGGGGTGGGGTTGGGGACGAGGGTCTTACTGGAAGGGGAACCGGCCCCTGCCCAAAAGAGAGGGGAGAGGGCTTGTGAGCATAGAGATGCCCCATCGTTCCTAGACCGGCCTTTCATTCCCATGGCGCTTTTGATTCTCCTTTGCAGGAACGCGGAGTCGGTGACCTACTTCTGGCAGAACTGGAACATCCCCGTCCACAAATGGTGCCTGAGGTAGGACACCCGAGCCCCAGGTGGTCCTTAAACCCGTTCGTTTAGTGACCGTTCAAAGTTGCACAGTGAGCAGTTTTTCACAGTTTCATCCACTGCCACCTCCCCCCCCTAGTCGCGTGATCAGACGCTTGGCCACCGACTCGTATTTATGACGGTTGCAGCATCCTGGGAGGGGTCGTCACGTGATCCTCTTTGGTGTCTTTCTGGCGAGCAAAATCAAACAGGGAGCCAGATTCGCATAACAACTGGGTGACTAGCTTAACAACGGCAGCGATTCACATAACAACTGTGGCAGGAAAAGGTTCATCCTGTGGAGTAAAACTCAGAAAATTGTCTCACTTAGCAACGGAAATTTTGGGCTCAGTTGTGGTCGTAAGTCGAGGACCACCTGAAAGGGGCAAGGTCTTGGGGTGGGGAAGAATGGTTCTGCTTCAACCCCGGAAAACGGTGGGCGTTCCTGCCGAGAGAGGGGCTTCTGAGGCCTGCTTGGAGCCGGCCTCCCTCCTGCGCCTGGGCCAGGCGCCACTGGAGGCTCCTCCATGCCTGGCGATCTGAAAGCCATAAGGACCTCACCGGCCTAGAGCAGGGGTAGGCAACATTGGCTCTTTTATGACTCGTGGACTTCAACTCCCAGAATTCCTGAGCCAGCCTCCATTTTGTTTGTTAGATTTAAGACAGGAGTCTTCAAACCTGGCTCGTGGACTTCAACTCCCAGAATTCCTCAGCCAGCCTCCATTTTGTTTGTTAGATTTAAGACAGGAGTCTTCAAACTTGGCTCTTTTATGACTGGTGGACTTCAACTCCCAGAATTCCTGAGCCAGCACGGCTCAGCTTGGAAACCTCTCCCTTTCCCCTCAGCATGGCCAGCTCAAGAATTCTGGGAGTTGAAGTCCACCAGTCATAAAAGAGCCTAGGTTGCCTATCCCTGGCCTAGAGGAGAGAAACCGGATTTGGAGCCTTCACTCCGTTTCTGGAGAAAGAGGATTGGGCCTAGCTGGCCTGGCTGAGGTGGCCTTCCCAGCCCTGTTTCATTTTCCATGCCCGAAGGTTGGTGTCCTCCTTGCGGCAGAAGCTCCCCCATTCCTGGAGTCCCAAAGGTGCTTTTTTTAGGAGGCAACTGGACTTTCCTATTTTTTCCTTGAAGACGTTTCGCTTCTCATCCAGGAAGCTTCTTCAGCTCTGCCTGAATGGTGGCGGATGGAAGGATTTACACTCTGGCTGTTAGCACTCTCTCTGAGAGTCGTTGAAGGCAGAGCTGAAGAAGCTTCTTGGGTGAGAAGCGAAACATCTTCAAGGAAACGACAGGAAAGTCCGGTTGCCTCCTGAAAAAAAGCACCATTGGGTCAACCCTGACCTGGAGGAGGGAGAATCTCCATCGACACCTTCCTGGAGCTCGTCTGCCATCTCCCCCTGCTTGAGACAGGGATGCCAGGTTACCTGGGAGACGCCATCCTCCGTCTTCTCTAGGGCAGGGCTTTTCAACCAGCGGTAGGGGTACCACCTGTGGCCCATTGGCACCTGATAGGTGGTACGCGACCATCCTAGAAAAGTGGTAGCGGGGGAGGGGAATGAGCTGAACCGGTGGCAGCACCGCACAAGCCTGAGCGAGAGACGGCTGGAGCTGCAGGGCTGTCAGGGCTCAGCGGAAGCGCCAGGATCAGCGCCAGGATCCAGCTGGAAAGCAGCATTGATCCTGGTGCTTCCGCTGAGCCCAGAAGAAGCACCAATCAGCTGGAATGTTGCAGCCTCTCCAGGGTCTTGTGATTTACATTCAGATGCTTGGCAACTGATTCATATTTATGACGGTCACAGTGTCCCAGGGTCAGGTGAAGTGACCAAAACCTGCTGCAACCACCCAGCAGACGGGGGGGAATAAAAACCAAACACCCCCCCACCCCACCCCCGCTGCCAATCCTCAACAGAAATGCTGACAACAATGAAAACCTCGGACAGGAGGAAGAGCGCGGCCAGGCGGGCAGGCAGGTGTCTTGCTCGGCTGTGGCTTGGGGGCACTTTTTTTCAGTGCCATTGTAACTTCAAACAGTCACTAAGCGAACGGTTGTAAGTCGAGGACTACCTGTACTTTATCACTTTTTTCCTCTTTTTTTTTTGGTCAAGTTTTTGACACCTTGCTAGGCAACTGGTGGTACTCGGATATTGCCATATCCTAAAAGTGGCACAATGGGTGGAAAGGTTGAAAAGCCCTGCTCTAGGGGACCTGCCAGGCTGGCTCTTTCCTACAGGAGAAGGGCGGGATATAAATCCAATAAATAAATAAATAAATAAATAAATAAGTCCAAGCAGGCAAGGATGATCCTTAGGCGATCCTGCCTGTTGCCCGATGCCTTTGAGGCCACGATGGGAAGGACTTGGGGACCCCTCGGCCTCCTCGCTCTCCCTGGAGGGCAGCACTCTTAAGGGTGGGCTCTCTTTTGCCCCTGTGCATCTTCTAGGCATCTGTACAAGCCCCTGATGAAGAAGGGAACTCCGAAGTGGACGGGCCACGTGGCTGTGTTCCTCGCCTCTGCTTTTTTCCACGAGGTTAGTGCTTCTTCTCTCTTCCAGCTGACAACAGACCGAATCCAGACTCAGAACTCAAGACGCGAGGGGCCCTGGGTGCTCTCTGAGCTGGGTGGTTTCCTTGGACGTTTCGCGACCTTACTAGGGAACGCCATCCGTGCCAGCTGATGATGTCACCTAGCACGGATGATGTTCCCTAGTTTGCATAACGAAACATCTGCAAGAAAACCAGCCAAGCCCAGAGGGCACCCAGGACCCCCTCAGGGCTGCTTCAGATCTTGGGCCTGACTGAAGCGAAGCCCTAGCGCAGGGGTTCTCAACCTTGGCCACTTTAACACTTGTGGACTTCAACTCCCAGAAGGAATTCTGGGGATTGAAGTCCACAAGTCTTAAAGTGGCCAAGGTTGAGAACCCCTGCCCTAGTGCACTTTGCATATCCTCTTCTTTTCAGCAAGGCCTTTTAAATAAGAACAGAGCCTGCTTTGGGCAGGTGGCCCCTTCCCTGGGCTCAGTCGACGCCTCTTGAGAGAGAGAGCGGACCCCCCTGCCCCCGGCATTGCCTCTTTTCCCCCAAGAGGGCGTGGGTGGTGCCCCCTTGTCTTTGATCTGACTTTCCCCTCTCTCTTCGACCCTGGCAGTACCTTGTGAGCGTCCCCTTGAAGATGTTCCGGCTGTGGGCGTTCATGGGTATGATGGCTCAGGTGAGACCAGGAGGCCCCGTGGCCACGGGTGGCAGTCGGGGAGCCCAGGAGGGGCTGTTGCCACACCCCCAGCCCCCCTCCTCCTGCTCTCACCCCTCTCTAAGCTGCTACTGGTCTCCCTCTCCCCCTCCCCAGATCCCCTTTTCCTGGTTTGTGAGCCGCTTTCTGCAGGGCAACTACGGGAACGCGGCGGTATGGATGTCCTTGATCATTGGCCAGCCTATCGCCGTCCTCATGTACGTCCACGACTACTACGTGCTGAACTACGAAGGAAGCCAGTGACTCTCTTGGCCGGCCGAGGCTCACCTCCTCCGTCCTGCCTCTTCCTCCTGAGGATCAGCGGGGGGGGGGCCCTGGCCGTGGCCAGCCTCCCCCCTCCAGCCTTTCTGCCGCCTCCTGGGGGGGCCCCAGATCCACTGAAGGCACCAGCCCAGGCCACGACACGGATTCTGCTCAGGAGGAGTTGCCTCGCGGGTGTTATCTTGTCTCTGACTCTGTGTGTGTGTTGTGTGCGTGTGCGCGCGCGTGTGTGTGAGATGGTTGTCTTATCAGGTACTCTTGAGTCCGAATATTGGATCGATGCAATAACCTTCCCGGTGCCCTGGATTTTAGCTGGTCCTCTGGCAGGATTGATCCCTTGAGCCGTTGCCTTCCATCCACGCAATAGAAATTAGGACTGACGCCAACCGTGCCTGGCAGGGCAGAGGTTGCGGCCCTTTCGGAGGGAAGCTGGGCCACTGGAACGGGTGGGCAAAGGGGCTGCCCTCCCTGGCACTTTAAAGGACTCAGGTTTATTTGGGGGCGTCCCCGGTCCCATCAGCGGATGAGAGCAGCCCCCCTTCCTCCCCCCCGGGGCATCTGGCCCACTTCGGTAGGCCGTCTTCTTTCACGGGCCTGGGGCACCAGAGCTCACCCGGCTTCTGTTTTTCCTAGAACCAGGTAGTAGGGCTCATCCTTGCCCCACAAGAGTTGCCCCAGTTCTCTGCACTCCTGGTCCGTCCCGACACTTCTGGGGCTCGGCTCTGCACAGCCGTCGGCCCCTTCTGGGAGCTGCCCCAGGCCTGCGGGACTCCGTCCGATAGGCTGGCAGGAGCCGTAGCCGCCGTCTGACACCCAGGGTGGGTTGCTACCGAGCCCGACCGTGTTTTTTTTGTCAACCCAGCAACTTTTTAAGAGTTTGCAGAATGTATCTGCCCCGGTACCAAGTGATTAAAGCATATTTTCAAAACGTTTCTGTCTCCGTGCGGTGGCGGTGGGGAGGAAGACCCCTCGAGGGAAAAGCAGCCAGAGGGTCCCTGGAGGGGGGGGGTCTCTGGGGAAGGGCAGTGAGTCGACCCAACCCAAGGACGAAGCCGGAGGCGTTTGCGGCAGTTGGACACGAGGGAAAGACAACCCAAAATAGCCAGCTTTAAGCAGAGGTGCCCAAGCCTGGCACCTTTTTAAGACCTGTGGACTTCACCTCCCAGAATCCCTCAGCCCACCTGGGCTGTTCTGAAAAATGGGATCTGAGGAGGCCTGGGAAGATGTGAAGTTTGGGGCCAATCCAAAGTTCCCCCTTGGTCTGGAGAGGCCTCTCGGCAAGGCCACATTTGGGAACGGGACGAAACTGAGGGCCGGCTGGTGTCTTTTCAGTGGAGAACAAGGTGGTCCATGAAAAGCAGTTTCTCCACTCTTCCCGTATTTATTTGCATCCCTCCTTTATTATTTTTATAAATAAGGTGGCGAACACGCACCAGGCTCCTTCCATCTCCTATTTTCCCCACAGCGACAACCCTGTGAGGTGGGTTGGGCTGAAAAAGAGAGACTGACTGAAGCGGTCTTTGTGTCTAAGGTGGGACTAGAACTCACCGCTTCCTGCTGACTGACCCAAAGTCACCCAACTGGCTTCCATAACTAAGGCGGGACTAGAATTCATCTCCTGGTGATTGGCCTAAAGCAGGGGTCTTCAAACTTGGCCCTTGGATGACTTGTGGACTTCAACTCCCAGAATTCCTCAGCCAGGCACGCGTGCCTGGCTGAGGAATTCTGGGAGTTGAAGTCCACAAGTCATCCAAGGGCCAAGTTTGAAGACCCCTGGCCTAAAGACGCCCAGCCGGCCTTTGTGCCTAACACAGGACTAGAACTCGCTGCTTTCCGGCCTGGTGCCTGAACCACTAGGCCAAACAGTAGCATTTTACTACAGCTATTCCTCCAATTACTTCTGGAGCCACCGTGGCTAGCCCTTTCCCGTTCAGGCCAGACTCTCCAGATGGCTAACAACTCATTCGTTGCTGATTTCAGCTCACTTATAAACAGAAACGCACCAGTCTGGAAGAAAGAGTGATTATAATAGTGGTTGGACTATGATAAAAGAGACCACAAATGAGTAATATCTCGGTTAAAACCATGTTTTCAGGTCTTGGTTTAATAGGCAAGATGTTAAGGAGGAAAGGGGATCCAAATTCACTCTCAAAATGGAGACTAGTGGAAGACAATTCTGCTTCCTGTCATCTGGGTCTCCTGCTTGAGCAGCAGCTTGGGACTAGATGCAATGTTTCTCAACCATGGTAACTTGAAGATGGACAGACTTCAGCTCCCAGAATTCTGGGAGTTGAAGTCCGTCTATCTTCAAGTTGCCACGGTTGAGAAACATTGGACTAGACCAGGGGTAGGCAACCTGGGCTCTTTTATGACTGGTGAACTTCAACTCCCAGAATTCCTGATCCAGGATGGCTCAGCTTGGAAACCTCTCCCTTTCCCCTCAGCATGGCTGGCTCAGGAATTCTGGGAGTTGAAGTCCACCAATAAAAGAGCCCACGTTGCCTATCCCTGGACTAGAAGACCTTCAAGCTCCCATTCACCTCTTATTCTTCTAATTGTGATTGTGAGTCAGGGACTCCCTGTACTTTTAGGAAGCGAGTATAAGGTTGCTAAGACTGGAAAGCGACTTAATCAAAACTATCCCCAAAAACTGATAGTTTGATGGGCTGATTCATGAATCTCCTGGGTTCCTTTTTAGAATAGAATAATAACTTTCACTTTGAATGTACACTAATCGGCATACATTAAAATGAAATTCCGTTGCATTCAGCTCTCAAAGGGTCACCACCTCATTGGTGGTAGATCTGAAGGCAGAGAATCTGGTTCCTCCGACTTGGGAAAAGCTCCAGATCCCCCATGTGGAGTAGCCCCCCTCCCATGACCTCACAGGCCACCTTGGCTCTTTTATGACTCGTGGACTTCAACTCCCAGAATTCCTGAGCCAGCCATGCTGAGGGGAAAGGGAGAGGTTTCCAGGCTGAGCCATGCTGGCTGAGGAATTCTGGGAGTTGAAGTCCACCAGTCATAAAAGAGCCAAGGTTGCCTACTCCTGTCCTAGGGCAAATGACTGGTTCTCCCCTCCCCTCCATATCCCTTCATGCGTGGCTGCCTCACTGCCCAGCCCCCCTCAGCCCTATGGCCCTTCTTCTCCCCTTCCAGCTCCACGAGGAACAGAACAGAACAACAGAGCTGGAAGGGACTTTGGAGGTCTTCTAGTCCACTCCCCTGCTCAAGCAGACCGGCCTAGACCGTTTCCGACAGGTGGCTGTCCAGTCTCTTCTTAAAAGCCTCCACTGTTGGAGCACCCACGACTTCTAGTGGCAAGCTGTTCCGTTGGCTGATCCTTCTCCCAATCAGGAAGTTTCTCCTTATTTCTAGCCTGCTTCTCCTTGATTAGTTTCCATCCGTTGTTTCTTGTCCTGCCTTCTGGTGCTTTGGAGAATAACGTGACCCCTTCCTCTGCCTTGTGGCAGCCCCTCAGATACTGGAACGCTGCTATCTTCTTTTCTCGAGACTGGCCAAACCCAAGTCCCGCAGCCGTCCTTCGTATGTTTTAGTCTCCAGGCCTTTGATGATCTCAGTTGCTCTTCTCTGCACTTTCTCCAAACTCTCAACACCTTTTTTGTGATATGGTGACCAAAACTGGATGCAGTATATTCCAGGTGTGGCCTTATTAAGGATTTATCAAGCAGTACTAGTACTTCGCATGATCTTGATTCTATGCCTCTATTTATGCAACCCAGGATTGTGTTAGGCTTTTTTGGCTGCTGCTGCACATTGCTGGCTCATAGTCAAGTGGCTGGCTCAGTTTAAGGCAGGGGTTCTCAACCTTGGCAACTTTAAGACTTGTGGACTTCAACTCCCAGAATTCCTCAGCCAGCTTTGCTGGCTGAGGAATTCTGGGAGTTGAAGTCCACAAGTCTTAAAGTTGCCAAGGTTGAGAACCCCTGGTTTAAGGGATCGTCCACTGGGACTCGAGGACCGAGGGGCTCTTCCCTGCTTCCGCCAAGAGAAAGAACTACACTCCCCAGGTTGCAATCCGGCCGGACGCGCGGCCCCATCATCCCCAGCCGGCGCCGCTCCAGACAGACTCTCTCGGCTGGACCGGCTGCAGCACCCGCCTCTATGGCGCATCGCACGGCCAAA